AGCCACTACCACCGCTTCTCAGGGCCAGAGAGTCTTCTATGTCTTTACTACCTTCTTCTCTGCTATTAACTGTCTAGTGACTATTGCACAGGACTGGGATTCAAAAGACTGTAATACTAGTCCAACCTCTGTCACAGGCGGGTGGGTCACAATGCCTTTCTGTGCCTCGGTGTTCCTATTTATAGAAATGGAGGTGCTGCTACTGCTTTCCTTTCTTCAGCTCAAATGATATTTAAGAGCTAATTACAATTATTATGATTAGCATTAGTATAACTGAGTCCAACTTGAGTTCCCATTTATACCACAAAATGCTCTTGCTAATAACAGCCCTAGCTCACAGCCCACAGACCAGATGCATGACGTTATGACACTGGGTCCATAAATCCTTACACAGGTTAAGAAACTAGAGAACAGTTTGCTGACTGAACTGCACTCCCCTACAACAATGGCTACTAGCCAAATGTACTGTGAGCCACACTGCTGAACGGGAGGTATCTTGAAGATGTGTTTCATTGATTCTCTTTTCCAGAAATGAGATAAAATAAATCATATTCTGTCGCTGGGCACTGCCTGTGGAGAGCCACATGCACCTGCCTCCTCTAGCTGATGCAGAATGACCCAAAATGGGCAAAGCCAGGAGTGGAACCAGTGTCCCCCGCATCTTTTGTGAGCACATAGTCACTGGCCTACTCGAGCATATCAGCCTTTACAAATAAAACATAATATTACTTCTTGCTGTCTTGAAATTTGTCCAGATACTTTAGTTTCAAGCAGGTCAAAATGTTTATTCCTATACTAATAAAAAAAAGGAGGGGAGACACAAATTTCTCCCCATCATAAGTCTGTTCAAACATTTTTGCAAGACATGAGTTTAACCCACTAGGAATATAATTTATATAAACTATCATCCTCTCCCCCTACCAAGTTCAATTCAAAAGTGTAGGGGTTTCATGTGTTCTTGTAATTTGCCTTGTGCACATGGGCAGCAGTTACACGACCACAATACAAATGCATATAGAAAAACTATATTGATTCTACAGTTTCTGTGCAGTTGCTTATCTTCCAAGAGTGGGGAGACCACAGGCATGAGCAAGGCTCAGACCTCGCTGAGAGTTAGGCTACGCCTGCCCAGGCAGTGCAGCTCAGAGGTAGCTGAAGTGCTCGCCGGGGAGCTACAAGCAGTACCCCTGCTTAAGCACACTGCTTCACCTGAAATGAAACACCCAGCTCCTCAGCTGGGTAACCTGAGCAGAGCTGTGTATTAGCGCAGCTCCACTCCTGGCACTACCTCCCAAGCTAGCATTTCACTGGCCAGCCAGGTCGTCATTTAATAGGAGTTGGGCTCCTATAAAACCCAAGCACTTAACTTTATGCTCTCAGCTGCATACCCCCAAGTATCTTCTGGCTTGGGACTTTGGGAATTACATTTATATGCATAATAACAAGTGGAACAGTCTTGTTAGAGATCCAAGGGCTATTGAATGCTCTAAATGTTAGTTAGCAGAAGAACACAAACCAAACACTTAGTTCCACAAACCAAACACTTAGTTCCATAGTCTACCAAAATATTCATTAATGTCAATCTGAGCAACAGATGCCTTCAAGCTGCAGTGTTGCTTGGCTGAAGAACAACAGGATTTAGCCCCACAGAGGCTTTGCCTGAGGGCAGTTTTCCAAGAAAGCTGAAGTGACCAAGTGCCAGCAGATCACCCTAAAATGCATAAACCTAAAGCTAGTTAGATCAGATAGATAAGTAGTGGGTTACAAAAGGTTTTATTGTGGCCATATTGGAGATTTTTTCCACTTTCAGGGAGTGAGCAGGAGTATCAGGGTTTAAAGGCATTTGGATTTGAAAGGAGTGAAAGGCTTGGTTCCAAACTGCCAGTTCTGATAAGCAAGGGGCTGCATGGTACTAAAAGCAACCAGGTCATGCTCACCATTGGCATGGCATGCTTGGTTTAAGTGGAGCAAAAACTACATTAAATTGTTTTCATTCTTTTTCTGTCACAAAAAATATACTCATTTAAAAATCTAATTTCACAATCCTATCATAAGGAGTGCCAACTACAGATCAGTAATATATTTCCTGAAGAGCCTAACAACTACTTTAACATAATACTCACCATATTGGTTTCAGTTACGCACCAAATCTTTACCAGACTTTTGTTTTTGGCAGATTCATCATTTGTAGCAATTGCATTTATTACCGATTTATCAAGCTAAAGAAAAAAAAAAAGAAACATTATTCTAACTTGCATTACGTATTTCTGTTCACCTCTACTCAAATCACTCCCTTTGGAAGCAAGATGCATGCTCAACCATGCAAGGCCTACATGAACATTGCTGTTGCTGGGCCTGCTGCCCAACAGGGAGGGGATTTACTCACAGAGAAAGGTACAGCTCTGCACACACAAACACTCATACTGTGCCTCAGTCTCCCCAAATCACCTACCCCCTCATCTTACCCATCCTATTCAAACAACTACACTGACACATCTGCCTAACTATAAGTGTTTACTGTCATTTTAGGAGCTGTGAGCTCCTCTGGTCTCCAGCTGCCCCTCCGGACTGGTGTGAGTTTCCAAAAATTTCTGTGTCATCTCTTTGAGGCCTGTGCAGATCATCTGGATGTGCTAGGGTGTCTCAAATATCTGTCAGTGTCTAGGCAACAGGCGGCCATCCCATGTGTCTGCCTTTAATCCGCCTTCCCAGTCCCCCTATCTAGGCTTATCATCATTTAGGTGAAATTTGGGGGAAACGGAAACAGGAAATACGGAGCCGTGGCTTTATGAAAGATGAATAAAAGCAAGAATCCATCTGCTAATGAGCTTTAGCCCCAAGGACCCAGAGAAGTAACAGAAGCAGTTTAACTAGTTATAACAACCAAATAAGTGGCTTCAGTTGAAATGAGAGAGAGCCTACCTCAATGATGAGCTTTGTAAAAGGGTCTGTGATAACTTTTAGTAGCTCAGGGGCATCCTCACCACTTTCAAGACGAAAAGACTCAACTATAACATTGGTGAGATGGTAAAGATAACCGGAAACAACTTCAATGGGCAGCAACACAAACACTGCAAGCCAGTTAAAGAAATCATGGATTGTAGCTCCAGCAAAGGCCCTGCAAGAGGAAATTCATAAACAGAGCTGCTTTTAATTAAACAACATGTGCACAACATCAAGTATGAAACCACAGGGGTAAGAAGGAAGCCCATCTCAAGATAGGAATTATTTAATTTCTAGGGTCACAGAAGAAGACAGCTGCTTTGTTACAGAGCACCACATTTTCTCCACAAGGTGCTCAAGCGAAAGAACTAGCCAAGTGACAGAGATAAGACAAACTGGAAAAGACAAAACAAAATAATCCTTAACAGAAGACTGCCAAGACTACTTGACTGAAGAGAGAAGTCACGGTACAGCCTCCATTTGTTTTGCTTCTCAGCTCTTCTTGTTACATATTTAATGCTTAACCAAGGATTGCCCCTTGGAGCTGTCCTCCCTGGCTCTTGCAGGAAGATGCTCTGTAGCCCTCTCACGTGCTCCTGCAAACCATTGCTGTACATCTCCCTCCCAGCTTCCTTTCCACAGCCTGAGCAGTCACAGCTGTTTCCTCAGGGGCAATTCTTCCTCTGTTCTTACTAGTTTCTTAGGGTCTTCTCAGTTCTCTGCAATTTGCCTGTATTTATTTTACAATACAACTCCTGAAAACAAGTGCTGCAAAGGAAGAGAAAATTTTACAGAGGAAATATCCCTTGAAATGCTAATGCTTGTAACTCAGGCTCCCACTGACAAATTGCTTAAGGGCAAATTATAGAGAACATTCAGAACAGGCCAGCAGAACTGAGAATGCTACCACAGAAAAAATATTTTAATCCTTAGTGGGCACCAGGGTTTTTTTCCTTTTTGTTGGAAACAGATCTCTGAGTGCACTTCAGCACACGCACGTGCAGAGGGGAAAGAAGAGCATTTACAGACAGAAGTGATTGTTAACGATTATGTTAAAAATCAACTTCTTTTCCATTATTATTTAAGTTTTTTCCTGTCCATAGACTAATAGGCTGCTTTGACATTGGAATTCAGGTGACAAAGGCTAGCTAAATGAAAGATTCAGGACAGTAAATCTTAAAGAAACATGATTTTGCTAGGTGTATTTCATACGTCTGGTTATGTCATGAATGACAAGGTGGGAAAGCCTCATATCCCTCCTAAGTTTACTACCCATCTCCAGTAAGCTATGAGCTCTCTCAGTAATAATGTCAAGTGGCAATCTAAAAGTTGTCACTGTACATATTTGAGAGTGGGAACATTAATTTCCCTAAGCTTATCAGATCTTTCTTACTGTGAAATTCAAAAACCTTGAAAATTCAAGGTCTCTCTTAAGGAGGGCAGACAACAGGTCAAAATTAGTGCAATAGTAACTTTCTGCACAACCCTCCCATATTAAAGAGATAATGAAAGGTGGGTGGAATAGTGGGAGCAGTTTGAAAATTTACCTTTCCGTGAGATTCTATTAAAAATGGCAGACTCTTACAAAACCACAAACCTTTTAAAGGAATTCAATATGCTTTTCTTCAAGTATATGAAGCTATACCATACAGCAATATATTTTGGCTATAATGGCAGATAGATGAGGAATGCTGACAGCTTAGAACTTGTTTTCCTTTCAAAGCTGACAGTTTGTGAAGCAGAATATTACAGAATTGCTGTCATTATTTCTAGTGGCAAGGCAAAATAGGACCTGGTTTTTGCCTTTATTGAAATAAGTGGTAAAATGCTAAATGATTAAATTTACTGCATTAATAGGTCATTAAAGCTGCTTTAGAAGTTTGCTTGCAACTTTTCTAACCAGACAGTGAAACATTGGACAACAGAATGGCTGAATGGCTATAATAATGACAGGGAATATAGAAGAAAATCTGCTAAGGAGGAAGAAAATAAACTTTTCAGAGCTAGAGTTTAAGTACAGTACCTTCTAAATTCATTCCTGTCCCCAGCTTGCATGAGTGCCACAATTGTGTTTGTGACTGAAGTGCCAATGTTTGCCCCCATTATGATGGGAATAGCTGATTGAACAGTCAGCACTAGAAAGCAGAAAATGAAGCAATGAATGAAAAAATCAGAGCATCAGCAAGCTATTTGGTCCAGCAAAAATTAACATCTATTAATGTCATAGGAGCCGTGATTTCCCTTGACACCAGTGGGATTAGGCACGCTGATCCAGATATGTTTGCTTTAATCAAGCCCCTTTGGAACGTAATACCAGCCTGGAGACCCTCACTGAATCTGCAGCACATAGTTATCTCCTTTCACTGCATGATAAGGGGCCAGATTAAGATAAAGTTTCTTCTTTGCTAGGCATTATCCTCCTTATTGCAGAATTTTGAAATGATGCCACAAAAACAAATGATGTTCAGTAACTGGTTAACATGAGGAACATATACTTCCAAAGCTAATATGTTCAATGCCAAAGGATCCAATGCTTTTCATTACTGTTATGGACAGCTTTTTCTGCAGGGCATTCATTTCTTTTTTTTTTTTTTTCCTAATTCAATATCAGAGCAACAGCTGCAGTCCTGACTCTTATACGCAAGTTTCTACAATTTCAAGAAAGCTCAAGGTGCACCACGCACTGAGATTTATGGGTGATCTCCAATAGATACTATAACTGGACTTACACGTGGAAGACACCATGCTGACCACAATGGACGAAGAAGTGCTGGAGCTCTGGACCATAACGGTCACCAGAACCCCAATCACCAGTCCTGCAACTGGATTAGACAACACGGAGTCATCTTGAAAAATGTCCCCTGCTGCTTTACCTATGAAAATATATTCTTAGAGTCAGGGAAGGGCCAAGTAACATTAATAGGAATTAGCAGAGCATTTCATTAAAGAATATTCAACAATTTAAAATGATATGTATGTGACCATGCTTGTCAGCTGAAAGATGGTACAAGGTGAGGTGGCTCAGGGATCCAAATTCAGGTCCTGAACTCTCAGCTTCTCAGATATCAGAGAATACTTTATATTCTTTCATTTCAGTAACCGAAAAAGCTCTAGTGAGCTCTGCAGAGAGCTATATAAAACCACCTCCATCAGAGGAAAGACTATAGAATAAAAAAACACACACAGACTTAAATGCTATTATTGCCTTAATGTTTTTGGTTACTACCAAAAGCTATTTTAATAATACTGAGTAATTCAGTGCCCACTTCTGTTTCTGTAGTTTTTTGTGTTGCTAAAAATCCAGAGTAACTACACAGAAGCCCACATATTTCTCTAATCGCCTCCTCTGAATCCATGAGCAGAGTTTCACTCTTGGAGATAGGTAAATGTAAAAAATATATGTCAGTAGTTTTCATTTTCAAAGGTTTTTTGAGGCATTTCAGTGCTGAACGCTTTGATCAAGGAAGCAATTTTCATATTTCTTCTTGCTGAAATGATTTTCACATGAGACAGATTATGCCCAGGTGGATTTGTGTGAACTGTCTCTAAAGTATCAGGAACTTCCTAAGAAGTCCAGGCCAATAATCCATAATGTCAACAGCACTTTGGAATTTGAGAAATAAAGGTCCCTTTCAAACAAAGAAAGGTCAGACTTCAATGAGAAATGCTTCCTTCTGATTCTGTATAAATCTATTAAGTATGTTCTTGAAGGCGGATGCTTCTAATCTGGTCACTCAGATGAGATTTACTGTCTCATTCATAGCTTATTCTTGATATTTTAGAAGTATTTTCATACCTCCTACCAGTTGAAAAGCAGAGCTCAGCACATCCAGGGAACACACGAACAAGTAGAGCAATCCAAGCAAGATAATAAACTTCCCTATCCCGTACAATATACGAATGATTTTCCCTTTTCTATCCAGTTCTGCAAAACAAATAAGTTATACATAAAAATGTGTTTGAAGTATCCAGTGTTGTTTTTGGAATAGTTTAGCACTCAAACAGAGACTATGGAGTCAAGGACAGTGTTGTGACCCTAGTGTGACTAAACACAAAAGAATGGTCTTAATCAAATTTTAACTAATGAATCATTATATTCAAAAGCTTTTGATATAATACAAAGGCTTTATGAAATCAGAGCTTGACCCTTGGTTTTATACATCTACCCTAAGTCGGTAAAGAAGGACTAATAGGAGCCTGAAAATAAGTTCATATTACTTTTGGATTGTTTTCCGTATATTTCCCCATGCTTTAAGGTCAGTAAGCAGCATGATTTCCAGAGCTGAGTAAATATACTATTTTACCAGCGGGGAAACTAACCCAGAGAATGTAAAACCTACATCTGAAAATCCAAGTGCTCAAATCTTAAATTCAGTTCTCCAGAAACTGTCACTTCAGAAAAATAATTGAGACAAAGAGAATGGAAGTGATGGAAAAAGAAAGTAACTTGTATACTGAGAAATGGCTACCTGACCACTTGACCCCAGTGTCCTGCAGTTCTGGCAGAGCCCATGGGTCATCTTCTGGTCTTGTCTCATCTATCAAGGCTATTGTGGAAAATGCAGGTTGAATTTCCCCTTTATTTCCAAGTGACGCTACATTGCCTGATGAAATAGAACACACGAAAAATGACTTAATTATCTTCAATCTTTCCCAAGAAGCCCCAAACTTATAGATCCCTGTAACTCACAGGTAAGCACACATTACCTTTGTGGTTTTCTCCTTCTTTTCCAGGCACGTTCTGGTTTTGTTTGGAAGAATCCCCAATATAGTTATTGGTTTCAGGCTTTTCTACCTCAGGCCAAGGAGCCATGATCTGTGACTAACAAAGTAGCGCTTATTAAAATGTGTGTGCAGTCAAAATATTCAGCTCACAACAAGGTATGTGAGCAATTTGATTGCCTCTAAGAGAAAAAGAGATGGAAAAGCAGTAGAAACAATGTGTCCTTGAACATAGCTTTTTTTATTATTCTTTAGGAATTATTCCCTTATTTGTGAAATTGTCATCTCTATTATTTATGGAAGCACACAGTTAGTTTAATTGTACAATTTACACAATTTTTAGAAATTATTTGTGTCTCATGCATGTATTTTTGTTTAATTTTAACTGTAATGACAGCAAAAGATTCCACTGCTTTCTGAACCTTAAGTACTTCATTAATTAATTTCATCTCCTTTCAGCAAAAATCAGAGGACTGTTTTACTTTTTCCATCTTCTGGTTTTAACTGCCCTCTTGTACCAAATTAGTAATTCAACATACAGACCCTAGCAAAGAAAGTTAGAAAATTATCTCCTAAAGTCTTGCCTGTCTGGGCCATGCACGCTAACAATAATCTTCTTGTTGCCTTTACTGGTTCATTTGCACGCTAACATAAAGGGGAATGTGACCCTCAACAAGTTGAAGGAAGCCCCCAGAATTTCAAGTGCCTATTGCCTGGATCCATGCTGAACAGCTTGACAAGAGTGTGATTAAAAAGGCAGTGGCCATTTGCTATTCTGTCTAAAACTCCCATAATCAATGCTGTAAGTGAAGCCGGAATAGCAGCAGCACCAGTGGGAAACTTCTGGCTCATCCATTCAGAGTAGGTTCCTCTGCCTGAACCTCTTCGTTCCTGAAGCTTTTTGAGCACGTTTGGCAGGTTCGGCACTACATGCATTGTGATGTTATTCAATAATAATGTAAAAATTATAAATCATATGGCCAAATCCTGCTAGCCTAAGTAAAAGCACACATAACAAATCTAGCCCAGGCACAAGCTGAGGAGGTAGCTACTTCTTGAACCAAAACCTGGAAGAACTATAATATTTACTTCACCAGTGTTGGGAGGCAGAGGAAGGGGCTGAACCAATGGTGAGAAAATTTGTGTCCAGCCTTCAAGAGTCAGAGTTAGAGTGGGTATCATGCTCCTGTAAACAAGGTTCAACTATGTTTAGCAGCCATTGTAAGGAAGTGCAATTAATCATTCATCTAATCATGATCCTTTATGTGATGTTGAAAATGTTTTGTCCCTGCCCACATCAACAGCCGCTCGTCCTACTCCTGCATTCAACTTTAGCAGGGAGAAAATGTCACAGACAAACACGTATGTCTTACTGTAACAAAGCGCGGTTTGATTTATGCTCCTCCACTGAGAAAAGGATTTCTCCCTTTCTACACGAGTATGAAAAATTATTCTGGAATCCCATTAGCAAAAACTATGCTTTTACACACTCATTACCAGTGGCTTAAGATCCATAGCGACTCCTAAGGTTTGCAGAGGAAGATCTCAAAACAGACAGAAAAAAATCACCCTTACCTGTTTCAACAAGGTTTTCCATTTGCTTTGAGTAAATTCTTACATTTTCATATGTGCCCAAAAAACTTCCAAGCCCCACCCGTACCAGAACACCGCAGTCTTGTTAAACAAGTTGCATTTACATATGTTCAGCAGTTAAAGAGCTCCGTATAAAAACAACTGCTCAGCATAAGTGCTTAAGTGAAAGGCAACCATGAAAATGCACTGGAAATTCAGATGTGAAGTTGCATTGGCAGCATATGCCATACTCCATGGCGAGACATAGAATATACTGAACAATACCAGCCTGAGAGATGCCAAAAGCTACTTTAACAGCTCTTTTGTTACATTTATATTCAGTGTGGAAACAAAGGAGTCAGCCTCCATGATTACAGAAAGGAAACTGAAGTGACACATTTGCTAGAAAAACCAGAGCTTGAAAACTTCAGCAGAAGAACTACCTCTTTTTCTCCAAAATAAACCTCCTCATTCAAGAATTTAGCAATGCATACTTTCATAATAAGCATCTCTCATGTTCCTGAGGTGCTCAGGATCCCACAGGTACGTCATATATTATTATTGTTTTTGCTTTACGTGATTAAATACGCGAGAATGAGAACTGAGCACCTCTGTGAAGGAAGGAAGATGTTCTTTATAAGTACATATATAAAACTATGCCTATGAGTCCTAATCAACCTCTATTTTGGCAAGATAGACTTGAATACCAGAGGTCCTAACCACATTTGCCTTGTGTATATGGGCTTGCGGTGGTATTACAAGTCTGTCTGATTGGTATCAAGGACTGATAAAAATAGAATTACGTAGATCCTTGAAGCACTACCAAAACTGTCAACTTTCTTCAGATCCCAACTCTTGTTAAACGAAACAGCTGAGGAGATAATTTACAGCCACCTGATACTCTGATTGGTAAGAGTCCTGGCCTCAGCTACTTACTGTTAATTAATCTCCATGCTACAAAGATAATCTACATTCTGCAGTTTTCCCTCAGAGAATTTTTTCTTGCCCCAAAGACAGACATTGATATCTTGATAAAAATATTCAGAAGAAAATTAGGGTGCTGCAGCGGAGCAGTACGGGGGGGATGACAAAGCTAACTAATGACAAAGGCTAATGTCAGACGCAGTATAAAAGACCAACATCGCTTTACACAAGATGTAAGTGTAAGTCTTACACAAGACTATGCAAAAGGCAAGAGAAAAGGGAATTAAGACCACAGCCCTAGCAGTGGTTTACTTCTGAGCAGGGCGGACATTACTACACTGAGAAGGAAGATGTTAGAGAACGAGCGCAGGATGGGCTGGTGACTACCTACACTGCAACGAGGAGCTGGTTTCAGCGGGACGCACCGGTCTGGGTCCAAACAGGGCACGGCCACAACTGCTAGATGAGGTACCCAGAGCGATGAGCCTTGCCCATTCCCATGCCAGCTTGGGTGTCTCTACGCTGCACTTCCCGCGCTCGCGTTAGCTGGCGGGGAGCCATTCAGGGCGTAGTTGGGTAGCTGGAGTCTGGATAATCATTGGCACTTTGAGTATCCACCTGTTTAGACATGTGCTGAAATGGGAGCTACTTCCTTCTGCTAGCGGCAGGTCAAAATACTCTCTGCATATTGCAAAGGTCTGAAAGCTAACGCCTGTGCAAACTGTAATCCAGCCTGTTTCAACGACTCTCGCAGCAAAGTCTCTCGCACCGTCTCGCACCATGTGCTCCTTTCGTTGTAAGTATTGTCTTTCCTCTCCTTCGGAAAATGCTAACTACCTGTGACACCCTTTCTAACTAGAAAAGAAACTGAAGCCTCCTGCTCCTAAGAGGGAGATAAACAGAAATAAACGGAATTCAAGCTATGGAATAAAATGTGAGATATAATGTTGAAGACCAAGTGGGCTCCCATGATTTTTATAGCCATAGTCATTCTCTCACTGCAACATTCTTCTTCAGAGTTAAACTCGCTGGTGTATTATCTGAGCAACACTAGGTGTCATCCAGTTATCCTGTACTGTGTTCCCGAGTGACTCACTGAACTGCTACAACATTTTCTCTGTTGTAGGGCTAGACCGCCAGTGCTTTTCAATTTTATATCAGAAACAACTGTAAATCTATTAATTTTGCTGGAGTTAACACAGAGAATATAAGCCACCATTTGCATGTGTCTGCATGGTATTGTTTGTACCTCTCCACCCGTGACAGCTCACTGAAAGGGCAAGCTGTGCTGGAAATATGCAGTATGAAGCAGCAAGCCTTAAAGAAATCTAACTTCTAGGGGAACAGACAAAGGGAAATCGAGATGAAATGAAGTTTCTGGAGAAAATAGTATTTTCAAATACAACTGGCAACAACTGCAACAAACAGCAGCGTGACCATACACGCACCTGGATTTTTTTTCCAGGTTGCTCAAGCAGTTCTGAATCAAGTTTCGGTTTCAGCCAGACTTCTCTCTCTCTCTCTGTCTCTCTCACCCCTCTCTTGCAGAGTTTCTACACATACGCATCTCTTTCTGGTCACTCAGCACTGTGCTATAGATTTTAGGTTAAAAAGAGATTTCTCTCTTTTATCTATTTCATTTGATATCTAACTGTACAAACTGGTAAATACGAATATTTATTATACTTACTTTATAGGAGTAAATACATAGCTACATAGCAATCCTTCTGATACACACTTTGAAGAAATATTGATTTTTTTCCTCAAAATGCATCATTTCAAAAATAGAAGCAAACTATGCAGAGATAAGAAGGAAGAGATTCTTAGCCAGCACAAATTAATTTAGTTTCTTTACCTCAGTTGATAATTTTGCCCAAGAACCTGTTTCATTGCAGCCACAAAGCCCCAGGTGCAGCCTGGGTACAAGCTAGCAAGTTAAGTAAATGCCAGCAATGATTCAGCCTTGCCAGGAGCAAGTCTTGTCTTTGCTCTGGCACCAGCCACTTCCTTGGGGCTCCTTCTCTGAATAGGTTAGCATGCTTAGCCAGGATGTAAACTTCCAACTAATGTTGCACTAAAGGACAAAATAGCTGGGTGAAAGCTAAACAAATAAGCTTTGTACTCACTGTTTATTCCTTCTGATCCCTGAGACTTCTTTCTCACAAGCCTGAATCTAACACATGGCAAAACTAAAAACATAGATAAAACAAACTAATAAGAAAACACATTTCTAAGCTAGTGCATATAGAAAACAAATTCCAAACGTTAATTCTTGCGTTCACAAATAAGCAAAGCACCAGGCACTGCCTCTTAAGAGCCAGAACCAAAACTATGTCAATAAACTACTTGAAACGTCTAGTAGGTATTTAAATAAAATAAGAATTACAATTTTTAGAAGAAAGCCAAAAAGTTCCCACCAACAAAGAAATATAAGAAATCAGACATCTACCCCATCCCTAACATGAAACATATAGTAAAGAACCTAGAGAGGAAAAAGTAATGACATTAAAAAGACTTACTGATCTAATGGAAGAGCTGCTAATAGAAGTTACTGAGATACCAGTCGATTCCTGTCTACTGTCACATTAGTTGAGCTAACAACATCAGACTAATGTATTCCTTTTACCGCAGTGTATCAAACTGCATTAGCATAAGAAAATGTTTCCATCAAGAATAGCCTGACACTGCAATAGTGCTGCACATAGACATTACATACTATCTGTGCTAACACATGAACTGGCAGTATTTCCTTCCAATAATGTTTCATTAATCATATCCTAGACATTTTCCAGTATCCAATACCACTGAATGCTATAACTTAAAAATCTCGCTGCTTTCTAATCCAAACAATTGTTAAAACAATACTTTCTCATGTTATAGGCAGTTATTTTATTTCTCTTTGGCTACTACTATGTTTATTTCCTCCGGAGTTTGCTATAAAAATAAATCTAGCTATTGCAATCTCGTTTTTGTATATGTAGTCTTTGTTAAAATAAAAAGAAAAAAGAAAAAACTAGTGCAGTATGTTTTTTATAAAATCCTTAAAATATCAATGCAGCTGAAAGAACACAAGCTGAAAATGCTGACAACTGGATGACATTTCACATGCCACTCCAGCTCCCTACGCTAGCTCTCTCTGCTGCCACTTCTAAAGCTGCAAAAGCCGAGCTCTTGATTTATAACCTAATCAAGTTAAAAAAAAAAACCCCAGGCAAACAAAGAAACAAACTTTGTCTTAGTTGCTTTTACTTACCACTTCTTTCTTGCCAGGCAATAAAGAGAACGGATCAGCTGGGCAGCCACTGAAACCTGCAATATATATAGACAGGTGTTGAGCAAAGTTTGCTTTCATCACCGCACACTAACATTCCTATTTTACAGTCCAGAGGCACTGCCTACCTGCAACTTAATGATCACAATCAACCTTTTTTTAGCAGGAGTGGGCAGCAACCAAGAGTGATAAAACTATGGGCTGTTTCACACTTATCACACTCTAGGAAATGTCCCATCAGCATTAAATAAGAGTTATTAACGTGTTCATGTGAATGCTATAGAATGGTTTGTTCCAGCCTAAAAAATTGCAGTTCGCCTGATCATTCAATAATCCTTTCTCCAAAAATAAGATTCAAAAAACATTTTGCAATCTCAGAAGTCTGTCAAAAGGATATGATGAAGATGTAATACTGTTATTTCTCTGTTCAGGTGTCTATTAATCTGCCTAAGAAGAGAAGTGAGGGAGAATCAGATAAAAAGCGGTGTAAATAGGAAACAGGTAAGAACTTCTTTGAGAACAGAGGATGGAGTTTCATTCTTATCAGTGCTCAGTGTTTACAATTAAGGAGAGCTCATTAGCATTTTGGCTGTGGTTCTCCTCCTAAATGAGATTTAAAGACATAAGAGCACCTTTGGTAATTGCATTCAGAATTCCAGCAAGGAAGAGGACTATCCAATAAATAGATATGTTATTCAGTAAATCCATAGTCATTAGCATTGCTGACTGTTCTACCGATGAGCTTAATGGGGCATGTGGGAGACTGCAGTAGGCACTGTAGCTTTATTCTCTTTGAACTTTTACTGTTTCAACATGCAGTTTATACTTAGAAAATGAGCTGTAAAACAGCAGCTAGATCAGCAGATCTGCTTCGCCTGCGTGCATGCGGACATATCTCCCAGCGAGTTCATGACTAAGGAACTTAGTGAGAAAAAGAAAATTGTAGCTTTTTGCACCTTCCTGCCCGCAGAGACACTTGGCCCCAGGAGCTGAGAGTCAGAACTTATTCTGCACGTGCATCAGCAGCGGCAGGGTTTGCTAAACTGCGCGCGGTGAAGCCTCTGCAAGCCCATTCGCAGAACCACTGCGTGGCGACGGAGTCGCTGGACCCGGCCTTTGACTACAGCGGAGCTACTGGTGTATAACCAAACGCCAGTTATTAGCCTTATTATGGGCGACGGTGGAACGTAAGGACAAAAGCATCAGACCTGACTCACTGTTCCCAGCTGCAGTTTGCAGAGGGCTGGCTACTGAAAGGGAATCAAATCTTTTCCTGTGTGAAGCTGAGAACTGTCTGAAGTGGAAAGAAGTGACAGAAAATGGACCCTAAGCCCACCATGGTGGTTTACACGGTGTTTTCTTAACAAAAGTGTACTTTTACATTACATATAAAATTACCAGTTTGAATCGACACCCTACCTGTAGGAAATCAAATGAAGCTTTTACCTGGGACTCCTTGCATTTCTCTGAGCTGTGGTACATCCTCTTCTGAGTCACTGTTTGTGAAATCCAGCTCCGACGGTGAGGAGGCTGTGGGATGTGCATGTTCTAAGTACACAGTTGCAGTTCAGCTAGTATGCCACGACGGCTTACACAGTATTTTTATTCCAATACACTTCATTCATTTGGTGAGCACATGCCTATGCACTGACCATATTAATGTTTTAGGAAGGGAACAATCCCCAGCCAGAACTATCCTGTTCCTCCAAAACAACCTTTAGGAAAGAGAAAGCAGTCACTTACGCAGAGGCAGGCGATCTAGGGTCTGTGCTGGGCAGGCTGGGGCAGCCCTCCTGCGGAGTCATTCGGGAGAGCCTCTACGAGCAGCCTGAAACGCTCATTCCCCGGCCATGAGGGATGGAGGCAGCCCTTGCTCAGGATCGGAGCAGACGAGGCTGAAGCTCTCCGCAAGACAGCGAGGCAAGCAGAGCTGCAGTTCAGAGTGCTGGCTTTTCGTTCCTTAGGAATAGGAAAAGATTCAAAAGATGGTGCTACTAAGGAAGAATAACCCAGTGTTGCCCCCGCCCCATTCCCTGGATAGGGAACATTTAATAAGACAAAATAAGCAAGTAAATTTCAAGGGTCATGATTTCCCATCACAAAATTGCTGGATTACTCTGAAGCTACCTAGACTCAATCTATACCTGCCTAAAACCCATTTGAGACAGTCTAGGATTTAGCAGGAGATGCAGCCACAGAAAATGTCTCTATCAGAGTGAGAAAAAATTCCTGGCATGTGTAAATTCTGTGAGGTGAACTCTGTCCAGTCGCTGCTACATGCCGCAAGAAGTTATAGCACAGACAAGAAACACGTCTGCATAACAGACCTCTGTGCTACAAAATGCTACCAGCTCCTTTAAACAGCTTGCCCACACTATTGGCAGACTTGCTGTGAAAGTGTCAACCCCATTCATCTCTAAGAACCACACCCCATGATACTAAATCAAAGGTATCTCATACACAGTCAAAATCAAAATAATCAAAAGCAAAAAATAGAAGTGGCCATCTATTCTACAAAGGTACGAGATCAGCCTGAGATATATATCCACTAACAGCTATATTCACATAAGTTTGTTGTTTCAATAAATTCAGCTTCAAAAGACAGCATGCATTAGCAAGATGCTCAGCTCAGATCAGGAGAGAAATTATTTCCCTTACAGTTCAATTGAATTTTCAATGTTCCCCAAATCCAAGGAATGCACAGCTAACCGCTTACTCTGTTCTCAAGGTGCTGAAACTCCAAAATACAACCACAGGGCTCTAGTGAAGAGCCTGTATTTGGAAATTACATTGCCCATTTTAACTTGTTTATAAACCTTGACCGAAACCTAGTTGTCTGCATCTGTGAACTGCATCTATGTGGTTTAAATTAGCCTTTTCTTCTTCTATATATGTGACACCACAAAGCACTGATCATAAAAGAAAGTGATCGGTGCTGATTTCAGTGTGAATTACAGCTAGAACAGTAATTTGGTTAAAGACTTACCTCTAATCAGCTAAGAACATCTTCCATTGTTCAATTACCTGGAAGAGTTTAGGCCCTAGTTTTTGCTGTCATCTGAAAAGTATTCTACATTAAAACATTTTAACAATACAGTTTACTACTGAAAAAACCCAATCAGATATATTTGGTAAATATTAAATTCCACATTGATACAGATCAGGGCACGTAGTAGGGAATCAATATTTGTAGCAGACTCTGTCCCTGGCACTATATAGGACACTGATTTCAGAATAGAATGTAAATGACACAACTTTGTAGCTGATTAATCCATTTATTTTCCATTAAGAAGTGTAAATTTGTCTTTGAAGCTTCAACGCCTACAAGGAAATTGTCTGCTTTTAGCTACCCTGTACCCCTCCACTTCAGGTGGGTATGACTGTGATGCATCCTCAGAACACTTTTTTCTTTTGCCCAGGGTTTCTACTGCACTCAGAAATAATAACTCCTCGGACTGCTTTGACAGCAGTAGGAAAACACAAAATTAATGGATAAAGAACCTGAATCCTATCACAAAGCACTCTATTATAATCCTCTATGCATTTCATTCTCTCTCACATAAAAGATATGCAAATCAATTAGTGGAGTTATTGTAGTTAACATACATACTTCCAGAGCTGAGTAATGAAAAAAAGTCATAAAGAGGTAGTATTCAACAGAGTCAATGCCAGGAAGAGGAAGGTAAAACAAGACATGAGGGGAAGGAGTCATGAAGAGAAAAACTACAGGAAGGGGTTTCATAGATGAGAAGCAAAAGTATTTCGAAACAAGAAAAACAGTATTTATGAAGAAGGAATAACGAGGCCAACAACATCAGACAGGCAGATGTGTTTGAAAGGAAAGTGGTACTGTTCTGTTTTCTAATAATTGAGCAGTCCCTTCACTATAGAGCCAGTTTATTCTCATTATAAACATGACCTCAAATGTTTCTGTCAGTAATTACATTATTGTGGCCCTTCTTATAAAGAACCCCCCACAAATACATCCTTGAGATGTAACAATCAGTGAGGTTTTTTGTTCACATCCTCCCAGATAGCTATTTTTTCCATCCAAGACACAAATGACAATTGTTTCTACTCTTCTTGGAATATTTTATTTCAACTTCCTATTCATTCTGTGTTTTGCTACTAACATATATCAGAACCCATCTCAGAGTTCATCAATACATACGGGACCGGTCCTTCAAACTCCACGCCGCATAGTGGGGCACATGGGCTGAGAGCAGCGGAAAGAAATCTGCCCAGGCCCATGGTGAGACGCCAAATATTCCCATCCCACTCTTGGGGAAGCCAGCAACAACAGACAGAAAGACATAGACTAAAATGTGGCACAGGAAAAATAGCACCAGCACTAATCTGAATTTGCTTTTAGTCAGAATCCCAAAAAACATGAATTTTATCAACCACCTTGAAAACTGAAGTCCAGATACAATTTTGAAACTTTTTTTTTATCATGATGGCTCTAAACTTTCATTGTTTATCTTGAATATTCAAAAGATTTAAGAAACACCCATTAAAAAAACAACAACCCCAAAACAAAGATATTGCTAATTCTTTAGGATAAGAAATCTGTAATCACAAAAGAAACCCAATATTCTTCCCCTCTTGCTAACCTTCTCTTACTTTTTTAATAGTCTCTCCCCTTACTGCACCCCCTTGTTTCCTCCCTGCTCCTGTTCACTCCCTCAGCCAATCTTCTATTCCACATCCGCCAGTGGCCTCCCACTTTGGACACATATTAATGAATGCAAATAGCATCATCCCAATAAACAAGTAATGGGGAAGAGGAAGAAGAGAAGTGGAGGGAAATGTGAGAGGTTTTAAATAAGTGATAATATTTACACTCTTATATAAACCTTAATTTACAGTTCCCAAAGTGCTTCAGGGACGTAGGTATTGTTAACTCCTTTATTATTCACAGACTGTTGAAAGACAATTTTTAAAAAAAAAATACATTGTTTTCCTCCTACACAATTTGTTAACCCTCAGCTGACACTGGACACTGTGCTGCCAGTAGCTGGACGAGCAAGTCTAATTATCAGCCAGCCAGATGAGTTGTTTACGCTGAAGATGAGACTCAT